ACACCCAGCCCTCCCACTCCCCCCCACAGGCAAGTTCTGTACCCACACACACCCAGCCCTCCCACTCCCCCCTACAGGCAAGTTCTGTACGCCCCCCACCACACACACACAGTCCTCCCCCACCCACACACACACAGGCAAGGTCTCTACCCCCCACAGCCACCAGCCAAGGTCTGTACCCTCCCTACATCCCGCAGCCAGGGTTTCACTCCCACCACCACCACCCAACATACCCCAAACAGACTCTCTAGCCACCCCCAGCCAGCCCCCCCAACCTCCCCATCAGGGCTCCCAACCCCCAGTAGGCCTCCCGCATACAGCCAGGATCCCCTAAACTTGAAGAGACACAAAACTTGCTTGCTTCTGGCCAAGCCTCCAGCATTTTGTGAGCCTGCCTCAAATCGCACATGGCGGTCTGCCATTTTGGGCCTTAGCTGAGAGTCAAAGGAGCCCCAGAAAAGTTAAGTCAGGGTGTGCAAACCCCCGGGGTGGGAAACGGGCACCATAGGCTCCCTGGCCTCCCCAGGAACCAGCACAACGTCAATACCCAATGGCCGCAGTGGATCTGGCTCCAGGGCTGTTTTTAAAACCATCTTCAAGGCACAGATACAAAATAGATTCACTTGGTCAACGTCTCTTGCCATGCTAGTAACACGACAATGCCCCAGCCCAGATGTGATGCTTCCCAGGAGGACTTAGGGCTGGGAGGCTCCTTGCTACCACCTCCCCTTAGTGTGAGGAAGCCTCCTCAGTGCCTGGTGGGGGTCAGTTCCCCAACTCTCTCTCTTCCCAAGTTAGTGACGCACGTTCCAACCCCCTGAGCTCTCCAAGCGTCTCCCTGGAGCAGCCAGCACCTGGTTCACTGGACACTCGCAGTATTCACAGAGTCGCTGCTTCCAAAGAAACAGTTTCGCCTTGGATCACCAGCTTCGCCTTGGATCACCGCTCCGCTTAACACACAGCGCTCAGATCTGTTTATAGCAGGGATCGGCAACCTTTGGCACGCAGCCCATCAGGGAAAGCCTCTGGCGGGCTGGGTGAGTTTGTTTACCTGCCGTGTCCACAGGTTCGGCCAATCGCCGCTCCAGGACAATGGGGGCTGCAGGAAGCGGTGCGGGCCGAGGGATGTGCTGGCCGCCCTTCCTGCAGCCCCCGTTGGCCTGGAGCGGCGAACCAGGGCCAGTGGGAGCTGCGATCGGCCGAACCTGTGGACGTGGCAGTTAAACAAACTGGCCCGGCCTGCCAGGGGCTTACCCTGATGGGCTGCGTGCCAAAGGTTGCCAATGCCTGGTTTATAGTGAAAGCAGGCCTAAGTTTACTGAACAGCCCATGACTCAGGCAGTAGCAAGTTGAAATATTGGAAACAAATGGTTACATATAAACCAAAATGCTAACAAGCATCCTAGAGTGTTGACCTCCTTAACAAGATACTTTCATAGCCTGTGGAATATTGCGCACCAGCATTTTCCAGCCAGGCTGGCTGTGACCCTCCTTTCATAACACAAACACCTGTTGATTCGCTTCCTAGATTGAGGAGCCTCCAGATATACCTGAACAATCCTGTGTCTTTAGTCATAAAGAGGATACCCCTGCTGTTTGGTTTCTCCTGTGACGTTCCTCTCTTGTAGATTTCAGAATCTTTTCTTCTGCCTAGACCTACACTGTGAGGTGTACAACAGACTATACGCACATGAGCAGACTGGGAGGTGCGCATCTGTTACGTCCTGCCTGAAAGGAACATGTCTGAGACACATCACCTTCTGGGGATCTGCCTTAATTTTCAACATAGATACTAGGGCTGTCGATTAATCACAGTTAACTTACGCGATCAATTCAAAAAAATTAATCACGATTAATTGTTGTTTTAATCGCACTGTTAAACAATAGAATACCAATTGAAATTTATTAAATATTTTGGATGTTTTTCTACATTTTCATATATATTGTATTCTGTGTTGTAATTGAAATCAAAGTGTATATTATTTTTATTACAAATATTTGCACTGTAAAAATGATAAACAAAAGAAATAGTATTTTTCAATTCACCCTAAGTACTGTAGTGCAATCTCTTTGTCATGAAAGTGCAATTTACAAATGTGCAATTTTTTTTGTTACATAACTGCACTCAAAAACAAAACAATGTAAAACGTCAGAGCCTACAAGTCCACTCAGTCCTACTTCTTGTTCAGCCAATCACTCAGACAAACAAGTTTGTTTACATTTACGGGAGATAATGCCGCCCGCTTCTTATTTACAATGTCACCTGAAAGTGGGAACTGGCATTTGCATGGCACTTTTGTAGCTGGTGTTGCAAGGTATTTACATGCCAGATATGATAAACATTCGTATGCCCCTTCATGCTTCGGCCACCATTCCACAGGACATGCTTCCATGCTGATGACGCTCTTTAGAAAAAAATGTGTTAATTAAATTTGTGACTGAACTCCTTGGGGGAGAATTGTATGTCCCCAGCTCTGTTTTACTCACATTCTGCCATATATTTCATGTCATAGCAGTCTCAGATGATGACCCAGCACATGTTGTTCATTCTAAGAACACTTGCACTGCAGATCTGACAAAACATAAAGAAGGTACCAACGTGAGATTTCTAATGATAGCTACAGCACTCGACCCAAGGTTTAAGAATCTGAAGTGTCTTCCAAAATCTGAGAGGGACGAGGTGTGGAGCATGCTTTCAGAAGTCTTAAAAGAGCAACACTCCAATGCAGAAACTACAGAACCCGAACCACCAAAAAAGAAAATCAACCTTCTGCAGGTGGCATCTGACTCAGTTAATGAAAATGAACATGCTTCAGTCCGCATTGCTTTGGATTATTATCGAGCAGAATCTGTCATTAGCATGGACGCATGTCCCCTGGAATGGTGGTTGAAGCATGAAGGGACATATGAATCTTTAGTGCATCTGGCATGTAAATATCTTGCGAAGCTGGCTACAACAGTGCCATGCAAATGCCCGTTCTCACTTTCAGGTGACGTTGTAAACAAGAAGTGAGCAGCCTTATCTCCTGCATATGTAAACAAACTTGTTTCTCTGAGTGATTGGCTGAACAGGAAGTAGGACTGAGTGGACTTATAGGCTCTAAAATTTTACATTGTTTTGTTTTTGAATGCATTTTTTTTAATGTAATTCTACATTTGTAAGTTCAACTTTCATGATAAAGAGATTGCACTACAGTACTTGTATGAGGTGAATTGAAATATACTATTTCTTTTGTTTTTTTACAGTGCAAATACTTGTAATAAAAAATAAATATAAAGTGAGCACTGTACACTTTGTATTCTGTGTTGTAATTGAAAATGTAGAAAACATACAAAATATTTAAATAAATTGTATTCTATTATTGTTTAACAGTGTGATTAATCGTGATTATTTTTTTTAATCGCTTGACAGCTCTAATAGATACATAACTTCTTATATAGCAGCCGTACATACATTTCACAATGATTATGATGGGTGGGCTACTGGATCTCAGTAGAGATCTCACATGCCATCCTTTAGTGATCTGTTATGCATATGTCTGACCCATGGACCCCTGT